CACTTTTAGACCTCTCTCCGGTTCCATTTTTATTCACCTCTCCCATTCATCACAGGAGGGTCAAAGCCACTTGGCATTTCACAGGCTGGGACCTAGGGTAAATAAATACAGCATTCTCAGGGACAGGACAAAATGCAAAGTTCAGATCTGGACCAGAACCTCCTCAAAGTTTTGGACCTTATTTGCAGTAATCTCTAAGGTACTGTTGAAATTCAGCAGAGACCTTTGTCGTCTTTGCTACGACACTGCTGGCCAACTCATTATCAATGATGTGGAGTAAGAACATGTGAGATTACGGACGTAAAAATTACTGAACTTCTTCACTTTACTCCAGTCATTCCCTCTTGCTTGATGAAGATGGCAATCCAATTGTTTTATACTGAAGATTAAAAAACAATGTTTTATGGATAAAAGGAAGAGGAATGTGCATTCCACTATGGTCTCTAACTCCCAGGCCCTTCCCTTTCACAAGCCAACTGCTTTCCCCCAGTGAGTATTTCCTGGGTCATGAAGGGTGACCCTTTCCATCTGGAATCAATCAGTCAACTCCTGACAACTTCCTGAAACACCTCACTCCATTTCCTGTTCTCTCCCCCTTCTCTTTTTCCCCCTGGTTTGCTTCACTCTTCAAAACTGCAGGCCACAGCAGCTTAATGTTAGAGGGTCAGACACAGTTAGACTCCAAAACACTACACAAGAACACCTTTGACCTTCAAAAATCTTTACATCTTAGCTAAACAAATCAAGGTCAACGTTTCTTACCATTACCTTGTTAACCATTTCTATGCATTTTTGCTAATACCCTTCTGAACACATATTTATCAATAACACTTGTTCTCCTAACATCGTAAAACATTCCAGGCCTTTTTTTTTTTTTAAAACCTGTATTTAGTGCCGATGAAAGGTGATGTGCAAACTTCCCTGGAGATTTAAATTCTCAGATTTGTCCACAGCACTGGCAAATTACTGGCAAATGGTTTTGGTGTGTTTTTCTTTTCCTGATATAATGGCACTACTTCTATACGATAATTTGGCTTCTATGCCTATTCAGTTGATGGTCTTTTACCTAAAATCAGTAGTTAATGCAAAATGTAATCCTAAGGGAATGATCTAAGAACATCAAAATATGTCAGGTGGGCCATGGATTCTGGTAATAGTAGCTGAGGGCCAAATTTGACAAAGACTAAAGATTTTGTGCCGCCCAACAGCTGGATCAACCCATCACCTCTGTTGGAGTTTCAGAGGACAACCGATCAAGCAAGAAATAGACACAGCAATGTGTTACTCCTTCATCCATCCAAATGTAGGTTCCATCTCTAGGAACAGTGAGGGAGTTACAGGCTTCTAAGCGGTGTTTTTTGGCAGTTCTTAAGATTCTCTCTGCAAATCTGCAAGGGTCGTGTTATTAGCTATGAAGCCACAGACATAAAACAATGATTCCCCATCAGTACTGAGAAATGCACGTGCTGTATTTCCACATTATTTTTGTCTCCTGGGTGGATTTCTATAATGTAATCCCTGCTCAAAAAGTACAATGAGGGTTCACCTACCATGATATTCAGTCAAAATGTCTTTAGCATGTTCAACTCAGGTTCTCTGAGCTGCACTGTCCGTCTTCCAGTTCCATGCACAGTTCAAAATGTTGTGTTTCTTTACAAACCTTTACCTCGGTACTACAATCTTTCCTCCCCCATCCATACATTACATCAGTATTTCTGTATTCTAAAGTATGCTCCTCTTCAAATCACATATATGCAAGTAAATACACACCATCATATATATAAAAGCTGTATCACTCACAGACACCTATTTAGACATATGGTACAAACATTCCAGGCATACAGGCATTTACTTACATGTAACATATCTCATCACTGTGTAAATGATCTCTCTCAAAAAATTCCTGTTACCATTCCAAGTGTGGAAAAAATTCTTTATGACATTGTACATCTGGAAACAATATTACATTCCTGATGCACTTTCCCTTATAACTCTCTAGTCACAGCACCATGTTATTTTAACTTTTCAAAAGAATAACTACTATGAGGATTTAAAAAATTATCATCATTATTATTATTTTCCAGCTGGGTGGAAGAAAAGATGTCAGGCCTCATCCTGCTGTCTTCACTTGGACAGGGCTCCCATTGATGTCAATAGGCGTTTTGGTTGAGCGAGTAATACAGAAGTACATGCTAGAATATAATGTGTTTGCTTCATAGTTGGATTAGGAATAAGATAAACAATGTGAAAAATGCCAGCAGCCTCTCTCTGCTCAAAACTTCCACTAAATTCTTTGGGAAATCCTCCCCGAGACCCTGAGCCTGCTGCAAACTCTAGGCTAACAGAAAAAACTATGCACATGGCCTTCATTTCAGGAATGGGGCCTCCTAAGATTATAGGGGCACAAGGGTAGGAGATAACACCTGGGTCACTGACATCTAGTCTCCTGCTATTACAGACAACCAAACCACGTAGCTACATTTATAAAATTGTCTTCAACCTTTTCAAGCTTTTGCTTTTGGTACTCCTTTTGTTTTAAAGCCTACTTGTCCTGATGGTTAGGGAATCTATGGTTTACAGCCTAAATTTATTCCTAGTCAGTTTATACTTAACACTAGCTTTATTTTTTCCCATTCTGATCTACCTTAGGATATTTTTAGACAGCAGTTATATCCCTTCTCAGTGCATGTCACTGAAGTATTTGAGACAAGCTTTTGTCCACTCCCCAGTCACCTTAATGACCCATTCCTGCACCTGTTCCAATTTCATTTTCATTCTCTTTTGAAGATGGTTAAACCAGTATATTCTATTCCAAACAAGAAATCAGTAGGGTACAATTATACAAATGCATCCTTCTTTCTACTGGCAAAGCTTACCTGAGACATAGTAGAATCTCATCTGTGTTTTTTTTTAATAGACGATACACAACTCTGGCAACTCACTGTCACAATGGCTATTTGGTCTTCAGATCTGAGCACATTAAGTTCCTTGAGTGGTTTTTTTTTCATTTGCAGTTGCAGTCAGCCCCTCCTTTACTCATAGAGAATCTAAAATAACATCACCTTTTTTTGGGTCAGTCACTATCTGATGAAGAAATCTGCCACCAAGTAATAGCTCTGGACTCTGCTGATACTACTTGCATTTGTTCCGTAATTTATACCTGGGAAATTAGTCTCCCATAACGACATTAGTCCGGGTAGTATTCATCTCTCTAACAACAGTTCAGCGATCTCTATCCATATCCAAATCTGACCATGGGGGTCTCT